AAGACAGTAACACTAACACAAGGGCCCCAACTATACCGAGGAGAGGAAAAACGAGTACCTCAAGGAGTAAAAGTCCTAAAACTCCAAGTACAAGTCCAGCGGCTCCAACTAAACCGATGGACTCACCAAATAAGAAGGCTGCAAGCACTGCCACGGTTAATGGTTGAGAATCGATTATTACCTGCAATGAAGGCGTAGGTACAGAAACAAGAGATATAAATATAATTTTCGTATGATACTTGAATGAGTACAGAGATATAGTGAGAAAAGTGCCAAATGTGATTTTTTCCCCCTTTTTTGTCTTTGGAAAAATGAAATGAATGATAATATATAAAGCCTACAAAAAGCTAAAGTTCCCCCCAGTTGGTACAAATGAGAGACAGATCAAAAAGACAAAGGTTCTTATCAAGAGAACTCCCAAGTACAGGAGTATGGGTGGGATGCTATAAATATCAATGGAAAGAAATCGCCATAGTTTGAACACATCTCTCAACTTTATTATACTTCCAATGGGAGCATACATGAAGTCTATCTTGAGAATGCTCTAAAATTCCTAACGAATCTTCCTGCGAATCCATGTAAGAAGTAAGCCTAGTGTTTTCAATCTACCCAAATCTAGTATGAAATACCTCGGCTCATGGTATCTCTCCTCTCCCGAAATTGGTTGAAAGTCCACACGCTCCCATAATCTAAGATTAATAAATTCAGAGAAAACCGACTATTTCCTCCTGGATGTCATTTCCATCTCAATATTCAAATTCAACCTTCGTCCTATAACAATTCATAAATTAAAACTTCCTCTTCATTTCAATCAAAATACAATGGAAAAGAGCTGAAGTTTCAATCCTGTTCTTCAACCATACCAACCTACATTACTATATAAATAGGTTTTGGGGGCAAAAGCTGGGCATCAAAGAAATAACATGTGGTGGCATCGTCAACAGTTGAACTCAGCTTAAGGGAATGCTGCAAATTACTTGATACGTTTCTAATCGTATGGATCATACACTTCAAAACACCCGGAGGTTAATTTATAAGATACGCGAATTCTTTGTAACCATATATCCATGTTTATCATTGAATCTTCTTCAAAATCACAAGGGATTCAATATTAAAGGATCCCTTAATCAAGCAAGCAAAGAAGATGAAATAATTTTCTCGTCTTCAGTTGTGTTCTTGCTTTCTTTGTTCAATTCTGCCTAACAGCACTGCCAACATATACATATACTAATACACCAATTAGCAATTTCAGAAATCTGCAATGAACTAAGAAGACATTTACATAACAAAGCAAAAGATGCAAGAAAAACGGAACTTACACTACCCAAGCCTGCGGATGTCCTCTGCAAGCCTTGAGCAAGAAAGCCCTGAAATAATGTAGCGTCGACAAGAGCGAAAAGAAGGATGGAAATCCAAGCAGAAAACCCAGAAGGAAAGGGGCGACCGCGGAAAGCAGCAAAGGCAATCAAGAGGAAACCGGCAGGTACAAGACGAAAGGCGGAAACGAAGAAAGGACCAGACCTTGGAAGCACCTCTTTCATGGCCACCATAGCCGTACCCCAAAAGAAAAACGGCGAAACCAACACAGCAAACTCCCAGGCTTTCTCCAAGACTGCTACAGAACCATCACCATCATTATCAAAATCGGAAGAAATCCCTAATTCTTCATCAGTCGAGGAAACCACACACTCCACATCCTGAGCAGTCCCCACGCAATCGATCGACTCTGTAAAATCCAAATCGGTATCCGCACCACTTCTGGTGCAATTCAACGCTGGAATTGCAACATAATCGACACGAAACCGGCCTTTCTCATCGTACCTTCTGAAACCTAATTGAAACGGCACACGTCGTCGACGGAGGATTGGCGCTACGGAGGAAATACCCAGTCCGACAATTTGCCTCCTGAAACTGAAAAGAGGACGACAGTTCGATGGAGAAGAAGAGGAAAGTTGAAGAGAAGTGGTTGTAAGAGTGACAGTGGCTAAACAGCCCGCCATTGTTGTCGTCTCTGCTACGATTCCTTCGCTTCAAACAGGAACCAATTAGGCGCCGACAAGCGCTAACATCCCGCCATTACTCTCTCTGTTATCGCTTCAGTCACCACCACCGATCGATTTGGGACACACACAGTCCAAAATCTTACCACTTCCAAACTTGTTGCGTACAAGCAGATATGTTCAAATAAATTTTCCAAACTTTTTTTTTTTTCAGATTTTTTAGATTTTGGTTAAAATTATGAATTTATTCATAAAATTAGTTTGGTTGGTGACACAAACCATCTGTTCTATCACAACTTAGATTGAATTGGGTTATTAAATTATTATTTAATTATTTAAAAAAAAAAATTATGTACAGTTTCCTTAATCACTAAAATTTCATAAAATTCAAATATCAAACAAGTACAAGTCACAAAACATCACTAACATCGCTTACAAATGTCAAATATTCTTAATATTCATCCCAATCTTAAAATTAGAGAAAGTTGGGTTAGATTGGATTATAACCCGTTGATCTGGTTGACTTGATAATGTATATCTCGAAAACGTGCATAATGATATTTAATATGATCTTACATCAGCTTAGTTAATTTCATACTCAGTAATTTTTTATTACGTTAAAAGTCATATTTTCAGTTTTATTCGATCATAACTCAATAGTTATTTCTTGAGAATTGTGCACGGTAACGTTTAACATGTTTCTTCATACATTAAATCAACTTAGTTCAAGCTCAAATTTACGTGACATACTTTTTATGTCATACTTCCAAAGTTTTGAGGTGTGATTTAATGGGTATACGTGACCGTTTTTTTTCACCGTTACGTCCTTAAAATTTTTAAAAGTTTCTCCAAACTCCTTAAATAGCTACTAAAATAAGAGAAAATATGAGTACCACCGAACGTGGATACATAATCGAAACAAAAATACTCAAATTGTGCAAAAATATCAAGTTTTTATTTTATTTTTTACATAAACAGTCTCGTGAATAGTGAATGAGTGGTACCGAGAATGTTTTTTAAATTTTATAAAAATTTAAATGTATTTTTTTAGACTTTTTTATTTTATTTTATTTAAGAATATTTTTTTTAGATGTATATAAAATATAAAAATAGTTTTATCAATCTATAATTATTTATCCCAAACTATAATTATTAATTACCTAAAATATATTAAAATTCACAAATAAATAAAAGTAAATTTATAATTATTTAAATAAAAAAAAATTGGTATTTTAAAATCTTTAGACTAACTAAATATAAAATTTAAAGATATTATTTAGACGATTTATTTAATTTCAAAGAGAAGTTTTCCACTGAGAAATTGGGTTTAGAAAAAAAAAAATGTTATAATTTATGCGAAAAATAAATTTCCCTACCTAAAAATAAAAATATATTTATGTGGCTTATACAATTAGAGTTAAATATTAAATTAAATTTATTTTATTTTGATTGATTTGAATTACTCGACTCTGGCTCTGGCTCTGTTTCCGGTGCTCAAAGCCATGTGACATCGTTGTTCTTCTAATATTTTATAAAAAATAATAAATGTAATTGAAAAAATATTTTCTCTTTTTGTTCACATTTAGGATCTCGAAAATTTCAAAAATTTCTCCGAACTCCTTAAATAACTCTTAATTACAAAAAAAAAAAAAATTATTATTATTGAAAAAGTGATCGAAAATTGAAGCAAAAATATAATTTTTTTTTCATATATTCAGTCATGTGAATAGTGAACGAACAGTACCGATAACATTTTTTTTTAAGAAGGTGGAAATATATTTTTTATTAGACGGATAGAAAGTTTAGAGATGCTATCAACCTTTGATTACGGGTGTACGTGGATTGAGTCGAGAGATTTTGTTTTAGACAAACCCAAAACTGGTGAATTAGATTGGTAACTCAATCCAACTCGGTTAAAAATTAAAAATTTATTATTTTTATTTATTTAGAATAATATAATTTTAGATAAAATATATTAATCATTTGTAAGTAAAAATTAATTTATAATTATTTAAACATATAATTGGGGTTTTTTTTTTATAATTATTTGTTTTAATTTATTTTAGAAATATTGTATCAGTCTAATTTTAAGGAACAAAAAAAAAAAAAAATGGCTATTATCATTTATCTCTTATCAGATAGATCTGCGAATGGACGTGGCGATGACTTATGGCTGTCTGCCACTTTCTTCATTTCCCCGTATCTTTCATTAAATTATAGTTTTGATTGATTTCCACGTAGTCAACAATTTATTTTTTTAATCCTACCTTTAAATAAACAAATAAATAAATGTTATATTATTGTGAAAAAGAAATTTCGCTATTTAAAAATATTATTATTTATATGGCTCATACAGCTAGAGTTAATTATTAAAATTTAATTAATTTTAATTTTATTGATTTGAATTACTGACTTTGGCGCTGTTTCCGGTGCTCGAACCCACGTGAAATCGTTGTTCTTCTAATATTTTATAAATAATAATAATAATAATAATAAATGTAATTAAAAATATATATATACATTTTTTCCTGTTTTTTTCTTTGGCTGCGGTTTGGTGGCTCCCGTACGACTCTTAGTTAGCCATGGCCGCACGTTTTCTTTTTATTTATTTATTTATTAACTATATTCTTTTTTTTAATTATCTTTAAAAAATTTAAAAACAAAGTATTATTTCTAAAGTTTTATAGTCATTTTCATAGGAATTATATTTCAATGTTTTTTTTTTTATAAAATAAAATAAAATTTGAAAAGTACAAGAGTTCAATTTTTCTAAAATTCTCGAGGTGACTGATCATAATTTTATCATAATTTTTAGGAGTACGAGGTCGGGTTCGAATTTTTTTTATAAAGAAAATATATTTTAGGAAAGAATATTCTCTGGAATAGATAAAATAAGACTTTTTTTTTTTTAATGTCTGGTTTAATCTATATATTTTTTTAATTATTCTTAATAAAATAAAATTAAATTTAAGCTTATATAATTAATTTGAAAGACAAGGGCGGTTACCGATTCCAATGTTTTAGGAACAAAATAGAGTGTTTATTATATTAATGCCCACGTGGACCAATGAGTTTCTTCTACAAACGGCTCTTCCCGGCTGGGCCCATTGACTTGGCCATTTCTCTGAGGACGAATTTCTGGATCTTTCCGGTCGATGTCTTCGGCAGCTCCGCCGTGAACACCACCGTCTTTGGCACCATGAACCGCGGGAGCTTTCCTCTGCAATACTCAATGATTTCCCCCTCCGTCGGACGCCGAGTCAATCCTTCCTTTAAGCTCACAAATGCACACGGCGTCTCTCCCCAAAACTCGTCCGGACGGGCTACCACTGCCGCCTCGTTCACCGCCGGATTTGTGTACAGAACTGATTCCACCTCCACGCTGCTCAAATTCTCTCCGCCGCTTATAATCACATCCTTCGATCGGTCCTTGATCTCCAAATACCCGTCCGGATGCATAACCCCAACGTCTCCGGTGAAGAACCATCCCTCGGCGGTCATCGCTTTCGCCGTCGCTTCTGGATCTTTCAAATACCCTAGCATCATCGATGAACCTCTCAGAACGATCTCTCCGATTGAAGTTCCGTCTCTTTTCACGCTCTTTCCGGTCTCTGGATCCAACACGTCAGCCACCGCCATCGCCAACGTCCGCACCCCCTGCCGCGCCTTCAACCGCGCCCGCTCCGCCGCCGGTAGTCGGTTCCATCCTGACTTCCACGAGCAGCAAATAACCAGTCCACCAGTCTCCGTCAGTCCATATCCATGACTGACATCGAACCCTAACGATTCGGTTCGAAACAGAACTGCTGCAGGCGGCGGCGCTCCAGCGGTGAGAATCTTGACTGGTCGATCAAGTGGCCGATTGTCAGGGGAGTTTGTTAGCATATTGAGTACCACCGGAGCTCCGCACAAGTGCGTCACGTGATAGCGATGAATTAGGGCAAAAATCGCCGCCGCGTCGAATTTTCGTATACACACATTTGTGCCGCCTACGGCGGCGATTCCCCATGGAAAACTCCATCCATTAGCGTGGAACATCGGTAACGTCCATAAATAAACCGATTCCTTAGGAACTCCCCATTCAATAAGCGAATCGAGCGTCACCGTGAAAATTCCTCTGTGACAGTGAACCACTCCCTTCGGCGACGACGTCGTTCCAGAAGTATAGTTCAAAACAATCGGATCCCACTCGCTCGCCGGCCTAATCCACTGGAACAGAGGATCCCCTTTCTGAACCATTTCCTCATACGAATCGACAAAATCAGCGCGATTCCAAACAGAGGATGCCGATGACGAATCCTCCGCCGCAGCGTTGTCGGCGATGAGGATTAGCGGCGGCCGTTTCATCTCCGGCGGGAACAAGGCCAAGGCATCGGAGATTAATCCACAAGAAGCTTGATCGACGAAGATCAGATTCGTTTCGCAGTGGCGAAGGATGACGGAGATGGTTCGAGCATCGAGGCGGAGATTGATGGTGTTGAGGACGGCACCGGCCATCGGAACAGCGAAATGGAGTTCATACATGGCAGCAGTGTTGGGAGAGACGACGGAGACGACTTGGCCTCTCTGGATTCCGATGGATACGAGGGAAGAGGCGAGTTGCAGACATCGACGGTGAGTTTCCGTCCAGGTATAGGTGGTGGAGTTATAGATAATGGAAGGACAATCGCCGTAGACGACGGCGGCTCTCTCAAGGAAGCCGATCGGCGTAAGGGGAGAGGAATTAGCAGGGTTCGGCTTCAAATCTTCCATGGAAACGATTTAACCTCTGCTCTGTTTCTCCCTCTGCAAATATGGGAAGCCATGGCAGAGGATTGGATCATATATATATATAAATTCAACAACTTGTAAGATGATAACGCTGATGATGATGATGATAAGAACCACACGCCATTTTGGAAAAACAAAAAATAAAAAAATTGTTTAAATTTCTAACTACCGATCTATCTTAGGTGTTACTTAGCAACACAATTTAACGGATAAGCATCATCGACCTTACATTGAAATAGACATGTCCTACCGATCTTCTCGAATAACTTATAGTACTTATAATCAAATATTACAATTTAAACATTTTTTTGGGTAAAAATTTATCTGAGTTGGTAGTAACTATCGGGAATCAGAGTTTTTGGTCATCGAGCGTGACAACACCGATACTGATATGTTGCTATTAAAGAACAGTGACTTAGACCGATTCATAATTGTCGTTCTTTGTTTCAAACATTTGTAATAGAAACTTCTAAGCTTCGTATCCTCGTAACTTTGATATATATTTGTCATTAGCTGTACAAACTCACGTGTCACTTGAAAAAGAAGAGTAGCAAGAACGAGTATAGAGCTTTCAACTTTGGTATGCATTTGTCGTGAGTCGTATTAGATCGTGTATCACTTCGAAAAACAAAAGTGGCACTCAACTTCAATATGAATTCGTCACTAGCCGTACTGGCTCACCGTACTGGCTCATGGACCACCTAGAAAATGTAAGTATTAATGATGAGTATTTTAAAACCGTGAGGCTGATGACAATACGAAATGGGTCAAAATGGACAGCATCAACTAGTGGTAGGTTTGGATTGTTACAATTTCGACGTGCACTTATCACGAGTAACTTTAAACGATTCAAAGAGCTTATCTCCACGAAGTTTTCGTGAGGTTGATAGAGATATGAAAAAATGGTATGGATAAGATATTAATTACTGTGGTAAAAACTTGGCTTCATCTCCACCGGTAATTACGAAATCCAATAGAAAAACAATCTTAGGTTGGTTTGTGGATTTATTCTGTCCGTGAATAGTGAAAAATTAAAAAAATAAAAAAATAAAAAAAATAAAGTAGAGGAGGAGAGCACAGCGGCGGTAGTGGCGGGGCTGACAGTGACCGGTGGTGGGAGAGGAGAGAGAAGCGGAGAGAAAAGAGTGGACGGCGGAGAGAGAGGGGACGAGAAAACAGTTTTTTGTTCCTAAAACCAGAAGTGGTTTTGAGAAAACCATGGGCTCTCATTAATTTTTAATTTCTTTTAATCTTTAATATAAAAAAATTATTTTAAAATTTAAAAATTTTAAAAATTCAAAGATTAAATAGATACAAATCTTAAAAAAAGTTTATAAAAATGAAAATTGCTAACTTTTTTTACATTTTTGTTTATTTATTATTTTCTATTATTATATTAGAATTTCACCAAGTGAAATGGCATTTTTGTCCTCACTAATTCTAATTGTAGGATAACTTCTACCAAAAATAAGTTTATGTAAAAGAAAGGCTATTTATGTCATTTTCAAAAGCATTTTCTAAAAAAAATTGTCATTTATGTGATTTTTATTTTTTTAAAATAGAAATATTCCATCTCAATTAGCTAAAAACATGTATTCAGCCATTAATGAATTATTCTCACTCGTTTATTCAATAAAAATTAATTGTCAGCATTAAATAATTAATTATTGAATTATTGAGTTATTGAGCCAATTTAACTGAATTAATTCCAACTAATAAATAATTATTTTATCTTAATCGGAGTTATTTATTGTTTTTTTTTTTTTTTTTTTTGC